CCTACGTCGTCGTCGTCGTCGTCGTCGTCGTCGTCGTCGTCGTCGTCGTCGTCGTCGTCGTCGTTGTCCAAGCACGAAGTGCCTGCACACACAGCACGGGCTCTGTACACAACAATGTCTCTGTGCACCAGATCTGCTGCAGAAAAGGTATGTGTTTGCACCACGGCGAATTCATACACCAGAACAACGTTGCGCACCACAACGCCTTTGTACATCACACTGTGTTTCGGGGATCTGCTGACCTGGGCCAATCCAAACCCAGGCCAGTCAGGCCTTGCAGAATCCTGCATGATCCTGCAAGATACTCAACCCAAACCCGGGTCAATGCGCAGGATCCTGCACGATCGTGCAGGATCCTGCGCCCAAGCCCGGGTCAATGCGACCCTGGCCCTGCAAGATCCTGTAAGATCGGGCGCTCTGGCTGACCCCCGTTTGCATCGACCCCCGCCTCAAAAACCCCGATGCTTGTGCACACCACGGCGCCCGCGTGCCCCACAGCTGCTGCTTCAGCATGCCCTGTGCACCGCAGTGCCTGCGCACACCACCAGAACTGTGTACACCTGAAAGTACCGACGGAGCCAAACTCGTGAAAATCGTTGGGGGCCCGGCGAGGGAGTACACGCAGGAGAAACAGGAGGAACCGCAGTGCCAGCAGGAGGAGCAAGAGGAACAAAAAGTACCACACGATGAGGTCGACAGCTCGGGGCCCGCGTTCTTTGTCCAAGAGCACTGCCAAGATGCCGCCATCACCCAACAGCATGTGCACCTCTACGGCCGCGGCGGAACCAAAGTCCGGGAGATCGATGCGACATGATTGTGTTTATTTCTTTTTCTGGGCCGAGGAACGCTCGGACATTTTGAATCCACAGCGAGTGTAAAACGCAACGCCTGCGTATACCACAAAGCCTGTGTGCACCGCAGTGCCTGTATACACCACGGTGCCCGAGTCGTGTATGCGAAAGGGGGCGGCGACGAGGGGGACGAAAATGAAGAGAGGGGAAGGGATGTGTGTACATCATAGCTCACACCGCACGCTTACATCATAGCGCCTTTGCGGACTACAACGGTTGTGATCATCACGGCGCCTATGTACACCACAGGGCCTGTGATGCGTACGCGACACTGCTTGCGTACACCCACTATGCCTGTGTACACCACAGCTGCTGCTGCAACGACAGTTGCCACAACGCCGGTGTACACCGCCGTGCCTGCTTACACCATCGTGCACAACGGCGTGCACCGCGGCACCAGTAGCGCCCGCGTGCACAACAGGCCCTAGGCTGCCCGGGGTCGCGCACTGAACCGGGTCGGGGCGTTACCGTTACGGGGGGGGCATGCGGGTGGCGGGGTAACATGCGTTATGCCTTCGGTGGACAAAAACATGGACTCGCGAGAATGTGCCAAACTGGGCGCGGACACGCCATGCCAACACCTCCCTGCCGCTAGGGCCTTCGGTTGAGCTCCCTGTGGGGCCACGAAGCGTGTGAGGAGTGCCGAATCGCGCGCGGGTGCGCCATGCGGCCCATGCCGCTGGGGCCCCCGGTGGAGCTCTCCCTTCCGAGCCACGAATTGAGCGAAGGGTGTGCCGAATCGGGTGCGTGTACGCATGATGGTGAATGTGAAGGCATAGGCAGGGCAGAGGCAAGGATGGGAGAAGAGAAAGGGGGGAGGAAGAGGATGATGATGAGGAGGAGGAGGAGGATAGGAAGGACGCGGGGCGCTGTCTCATCAAAACCAGGACCCAACCATGATACCATCGATTAAGAATTCTCCTATATATTTAAAGCGGTGCCGATCTATTCAGATCCGCCTATCGACACAGAGCTTGGCAATCTTAATAGAGCATGGTTTTACGCCGAAGAGTTTTAATCTGTTGTTTCTGGACAGAAGCACTATCTATTTAGATATGTTGATTTTCTTAGAGGCCCAACGTGGGTGTCAGAACAAGCCGAACGTGTGTTCTGAGAAATCATGAATTTGTTTGGCCGATTCAGAAGGCTCAACATCGTCTACATGGGGCAGCGGACAGGGGCTCCTCGCATACATGGGGCAGCGGCCAGGGGCTCCTCGTCTAAGGAGCCCCTCGGCGCTGGGGGGGAGGGAGGGGGGGCATGTCGCCGCGGCTGTTTGCGGATCCGATGCACATCCGGCTCGATTCAGCTAAGCACTCGCGCCCCGCGCGCCGCACCCCCTTGCCCCGCCGTGGTCGCCGCCGCGGATCCTAGCTGGCGCAATTGCCCCAGGGCCAAGTGCACCAGCGATCTCCCAGCGCTCACGGAACTGCGCAAGACGCACGCGCTCAGCATCATCCGCTACCAGGCGCAGAGCGATGTCGAGGAGACGGCGCGCCTTAACAGGCCTTTCTTGGTCAACTTGGCGGCCCTGACGCCGCGCGCGCCTGCGCCGCTCCTCGCCGACGCCGCCGAGGACCTCTCGCCTGAGCTCTATGCCCGAGCGGGCGAGTTGGGCGAAGGCCGCGGAGCAGGCGATGCAGCGCTGCTACAAGCATGAGGACGTCAAGAATGCTGTCTCCCGCGATTGCCGCCGTCGCCCGCGCGCTGCAGCAACGTGACCGAGAGGGGGCGCCGACTCTGCCGATTGATGCTCGGCCCAAGCCGTTGGCGGCCCCCGCCAGCAGCGCGCGCGGGCCCGCGCTGCGCAGCCCCGCGAGCGCGAGCCAGATCGCGGCAGCGCGCGGGCACAGCGGCGCCCCGCGCGCGCGCCGACCAAGAGGGCGCCGGGTGCCCTGGGCAGCCCGAGCCCGAGCTCGAGCGCAGCCCTGACTACGACGAGGAGGAGGTTGACGCGGAAGCAGTCGCTCGTGGACTGGCCGACGCCCAGGCGGCCGAGAAGCCCGCGCCGAAGCGCGCTAGCGTCTGCGAGGTGGACTACAAACGAATGAAGCTCAATGGGGCCGACGACAGCGGGGAGCTCAGGGAGTTCGACTTGGCCCCTGGCGAGAAGGGGATGCGCGCGGCCATCCTCGCCGACGGCGCGACGTGGACGTCGGCGACCGCCGGCGACGACTTCGCAGCGAGGAAGAACCCGCCCGCGAATAAAAAGCCCGCCATTAAGAAGACGAGAGGGAACAATGAGAAGCCTGCAGCGGCGACTGGCGCCTGGCGCTTCGAGGGCGAGAACATGACCATGGACGCAGGCGAGGAGGGCGAGGGCGAGGAGGAGGAGACGGGCGCGGCCGACGAGGCCGAGGGGCCCGATGGGGGGAGGCGACGCCGAGCACGAGCTCACGTGGGCCATGAAAGGACTGCCCCCGAAGCCCGCCGCCGCCAAGGCGAAGCCCGCGGCCGCCGGGCTTCAGGCGGAGCCCGCGGCCGCCGAGCTTCCGAAGGCGAAGCCCGCGCCCGCCGACCCCGGCAAATTTGCGGACGAAAAAGGCCGCGCGTTCGACTGCGAGACCGAGCAGTTCGACAGCGCGATGCACTACAAGGAGAGCCACTCCGCGGGGCTCCGCGTGAAGGGCGGCTCGCAGCTCATCTCCTTCGGGGGGGTGCGCTGCGCGGCCAGCAAGGGGCATCTCTTGGGGCTGCTGGCGCGACGTGCGCGGCACCGTGTCGCCGAAGGCGACGGCGCGTCGACCGTGGCTGCTGGCGCGACGAGCTGGGCAGGCCCCTCCTTCTTCCGCCACATAAGACATGTAAAACGTAAAAAACAAACGCGAACAAGTTCCTTCCAGGAGACCCGCGAGATCAGCCGCCGCGCCGCCTGGATCGCGGAGGCGAGGCGCCCCCTACTCGAGCCCCTCGTGAACTTCAGCGGCGCGAGGTCGACCTGCATCATCCGAAAGATTATGGGCCTGAGCTCGCCGCTAAGTGACTGAGCCGCGCGGTTCGCCATCTCTTCAAAGAAAAGGACAACGGCGAGGAGGTGGGGGAGGAGTGGAGGGGCTATCGGAAGACCCAGGGGGGCACGGTGGCCCTCGGCTAACGCGCCCCCAGAGGGGGGGGGGGGCAGGGGAGGGGGCAGGTGCAGGAAGAGGTGCGTGTGTGTGTATGTGTGCGTGCGTGCGTGCGTGCGTGCGTGCGTGTGTGCATGCATGTGTGTGTGTGTGCGTGCGAGCGAGCGAGCGAGCGAGCGAGCGAGCGAGCGTGCGTGCGTGCGTGCGTGCGTGCGTGCGTGCGTGCGTGCGTGCGTGCGTGCGTGCGTGCGTGCGTGCGTGCGTGCGTGCGTGCGTGCGTGCGTGCGTGCGTGCGTGCGTGCGTGCGTGCGTGCGTGCGTGCGTGCGTGCGTGCGTGCGTGCGTGCGTGCGTGCGTGCGTGCGTGCGTGCGTGCGTGCGTGCGTGCGTGCGTGCGTGTGGTGTGTGTGGTGTGTGTGTGTGAGAGTGTGCGTGTGTGTGTGTGTGTGTGTGAGTGAGTGAGGTGGTGTGTGGTGTGTGTGCGTGTGCGTGTGCGTGTGCGTGTGCGTGTGTGTGTGTGTGTGTGTGCGTGTGTGTGTGGGCGTGCGTGTGCGTGTGTGTGCGTGTGCGTGTGTGTGTGGTGTGTGTGTGTGTGTGTGTGTGCGTGTGCGTCGTGCGTGCGTGCGCGCGCGCGCGGGGGGGGGGGGGGGCTCGGAGGGCCGAGAGGCACGGGGGCGCCTCTGCTTTTTTTTTTGGGGGGGGGAGGGGGGGGCAGGAGGCAGGGGGGGGGCTTCCCTTCTTGTCGCCGCGCGCTCCTCAACTTTTCAGCTGCGGCGCGCCCGCTCTCTGGCCCCCTCGACAGGGCCCGCCCGGGGCCCGACTGCAGCGATGGGTCGGCCCCAAATGCTCTTCGGCGCCTTCGGCGCCTTGTGGCTCCGCTGGCTGATGGGCGGCGACGCGGTTCAGGTGGTTCCCTTCCGCGATCCTTCACTTTAGATAAACAAAAACATACATACATAGACATGTCAGGTGGCGACGGCGCCCAGACCTGCAGCGAAGGCTGCAGCGGCGGCAGCCCTGGGCGGAGGGCACCGACCACCCACGCAGCCGCCTCTCCCGCAACTACCCACATTGACTGGCCAAGAGGAGACGCCAGACCAGGAGCTCGGCTTCGCGCCAAGTGAAGACGTCGAGGTCATGATCCGGGAGGCCACCGAGAGCCCCCAAGGCCAGGCTACGGACGCAGAGGTCCCCGAGGAACCCGAAATCGTCGCGGCGGCCGATGGCTGCAACGCCTCGGCCGAGGCCCCCGAGGGCGAAGGCGAGGCTCCGCTCGATCACGCCGAGGCCCCCGCGGGCGAGAGCCAGGCCGAGGCCCCCGAGGGCGCGGGCGAGGCCGAGGCACCCGATGGCGAAATCGCCCAGCCCGACTTGGACCCCGTCAGCGACGCCCCGCCGCGCGAGCCCTACCTGCGCCTGCCGATGGAGGAGCTCGCGCCTCGGCGGGTCGAGCTCAGGTCCTGGTGGAGGGCCATCTACACAGCCTCCGATGGGGAGTTGCTGCTGGGCTTACACCCAGCCGCCGCCCTTCGGCGCGAGGATCCGCCAGGTCCTCCAGGGCGAGGTCTTCGGCCCGAGCCTCGAAGTCGGCCAGCGCTGGCTGCGGGGGCCGCCGCGGGAAGGCCTCGCGGGCTTCTGGCGCGGCTTCGTCACGGCGACCATCCACGGCCCACCGCGCGGGCCCTTCTTCGAGTTCGTGAACCTCTGGGGCACGCGGACGCCACCTGGCACGATGACTCCATGCTGGATCGCGGAGCCCTGGGCGCCTCCAGAAGCAGGCCTTGGCGGAGGCCCGCTGACAGGGCTGCCGCCAGCGGGCGAAGGCGGGCAGCCACCTGAAGAAGGCGGCGGCGAGTGGGGCGCGCATCTCGAGGACGAGGGGGGCGTGATCGACGTGCCCCCCGAGATGGAGTTCGCGTTCCTGGACGGCCGCCCGATGGCTCGGCCCGAGGACTCGGCCCCCCACGCGCGCTGGGCCTTCCACGAGAGGTGGCGCCGCTGGAAGGCCGCGAGATTGCGGCTTCTGCGGGAGGCGCAGCGTTTACTTCGGCGACAGCAACTGCGTCGCCATCGCCTGCCTCGGGGGGCGAAAAGAGGGCGCGCGCCCCGCCCGCCTGGCCAGCAGCGCCCCGCGAGGAGGAAGCGCGCGGGCGACCGGACCTCGCGCCAGGCCTGGATGGGGAAGCCCCTGGCACACAGAAAAACAATTGACGCGACCGCGGTGTGCCCGGAGGAGCGGGGCCAGGCAGAGCGCAACTCCAATGCGGCGGGCGCCTGGCAGGCACTCCAAGAGCGCCGAGAGAGGCAGACAAAAGAAGAGGGCCGCTGAGGAGGCAGAGGAGCAGACCATGGACCCTGAGGACAAGACCTGGGACGCCCGGGGGCCCCAGCACCTGTCCCAGAGGCCAGCGCCTAAGTCGTATCCGACGAAGGCGAAGGGCGCCCCGCTGAAGAACAAGCCGGCGCCGAAGGCGCCTCATGAGCAGCCTGCGCCCCGATCGCGCGCGCCCGGGCCAAGGAGGCCTCAACCCCTCGCAGCGCTGCCCCCCAAGGCCGAGCCGCAGCCGCCGCCAGACCGAAGCAAGCCGCGGGCAGCCCGCTCGCAAGCAGGTTCGAAGAGGACCGAGGAGGAGAAAGCGGCGCTCATCCACGAGAGGAAGATGGAGATGGCGAAGCTGGTAGTGCAGAACAAGAATAAGAGCGACGAGGCACAGCATCTGCAGGAGCGCCTCGAGCAGGTGCAAGCCGCGGTCGGCGCGGCGCAGGCGTCGCGGGGCGCACGGCGAAGCAACCATCAGCGATGAAAAAGCACACCCAGTCAGGATGAACGCGGCACCGCTGAGAGCGCCTCGGCCAAGGCGCTCGCAAAGGGCGTCGCATGTGATATCCTGAATTAGATGCGGCTTCCAAGCGCAATGATTTCATCGCCCGCGCGCTCCCATAGGAGGACATTACGGTGGCGCTCCAGCAGCAGACGCAGGCCCAGGCGGACCTTCTGCATATTCGAAAGGACGCTGCGGGCGCCGAGCAGCAGCAGCACGAGGCCCACGACCATCTCGCACACATTGAAGCTGCCCGACTGGAATCGGAGGAAAAGCTGAGAATTGCGCGCAGGTTCTCCACGAGGCCTACGAGAATCTCGCGGCACTGCAATCGCAGCAGACTCGACCGCAGCAGGCGCAGCAGATCCAGAAACACCCGCAGCAGCGCCAGGCGCAGCAGGACTGGACGTTGCAGAGGCACGCGGCCTAGCTGCAGCAACAGGAGTACCAGCAGCAGCAAGCCAGCAAGCCTACAACTGGCAGGCTCACCAGCAAGCCGTGGCGGCGGGAAGTGGAGCAGGGTCAGGAGATGCCGCAGCCGCAGGCCCACGCGGGTGGCCCAGCATGCTTCCAGGCGCCCCCACAGGAGGCGCCGCCACAGCAGCCGCAGCATATCCAGCACTGCCCGCAGCAGACCTGGCAACCGCAGCAGATCCAGCCGCAGCCGCCGCAGCAAATCCAGCAGAAAGGAGCGATCCAGCAGCAGCAGCAGACCCAGCTCCAGCAGGAGCAGATGCAGCGCCAGCAGGAGGAGACGCGGAGGCTCCAGCAGCAGCTGGATCAACTTCAGCGCCAGCAACAGCTGCAGGCGCTGCGCGGGCCGCTGCCTCCAACGCAGCCGCCGCTGCAGCCGCTGCCGCAGGCGCTGCGGCACCAGGCGCAGCAGCCGCCTCCATGGCAAACCCCGCCACGGCAGGCACCGCAGCCGCCGACACTGCCGCAGCCTCTGGTTGAAGCGATGACCACGCTCCTGCCGCGCACGTCCCCAGCGGCCAATGGGGGGGCCACCGCCGACGCCCACGCGGTTTTGAGCGTAGGGCCTTTCCGCTCGGGCGCCCGCGGAGCAGCGTGCTTCGCCGGCGTCTTGAACCTGCCCGACAGAGCGCGCGCGCGCCCCTGGGCGGAGGAGCTTCTGCGGCAGAGGCAGAGACTCCTGGGCAAAGGCTCCTGGGAGGTGGGTGTGGGGGGGGGGGGGGGGGGGGGGGGGGGGGGGGGGGGGGGGGGGGGGGGGGGGGGGGGTGGGGGGGGGGGGGGGGGGGGGGTGGGGGGGGGGGGGGGGAGGGGGGGGGGGGGGGGGGGGGGGGGGGGGGGGGGGGGGGGGGGGGGGCGGGGGGGGGGGGATGGGGGGGGGGGGGCGGGGGGGGGGGGGGGGGGGGGGGGGGGGGGGGGGGGGGAGAGGGGACGCAAACGGAAGATGGGGGGAGAGGGAGGGGGGGAGGTAGAGAGGGGAGGGGGGGGGAGGGAGGGGAGGAGGAGGCGGAGGGAGGGGCAGGGAGGGAGGGGGGGCGGCGAGGGAGGCGAGGGAGAGGGAGGAGCGAGGGAGGGAGGGGAGGGCGCGCCAAAAAATAACTGACTATCCTGGCAAAGCAACCTAACAGCGATGTGTACGAGCATATCTGGAAACATTCCCCTTAAGATTCAGATGAGAACCCAGTTGTAGAATACTGCAGTTCTCGCAGTCGTAGTCGCATTCGCGATGACAGTCGCAGTGGCAACGGCAGTCGCAGTCACAGCCTCAGCCTCAGCCTGCCGCAGCCTCAGCCTCAGCCTCAGCCTCAGCCTCAGCCTGCCTCAGCCTCAGCCTCAGCCTGCTTCAGCCTCAGCCTCAATCTGCCTTCAGCCCCGGCCTCAGCCTCAGCCTGCCTCAGCCTCAGCCTGCATCAGCCTCAGCCTCAGCCTCAGCCTGCCTCAGCCTCAGCCTGCCTCAGCCTCAGCCTCATCCTGCCTCTGCCTCAGCCTCAGCCTGCTTCAGCCTCAGCCTCAGTCTGCCGTCGGCCTCGGCCTCAGCCCCAGCCTGCCTCAGCCTCAGCCTGCATCAGCCTCAGCCTCAGCCTCAGCCTCAGCCTCAGCCTGCCTCAGCCTCAGCCTCAGCCTGCCTCTGCCTCAGCCTCAGCCTGCTTCGGCCTCAGCATCAGTATGCCTTCAGCCTCGGCCTCAGCCTCAGCCTGCCTCAGCCTCAGCCTGCATCAGCCTCAGCCTCAGCCTCAGCCTGCCTCAGCATCAGCCTGCCTCAGCCTCAGCCTCAGCCTGCCTCAGCCTCAGCCTCAGCTCTGCTTCATCCTCATCCTCAGCTGCCTTCAGCCTCAGCCTCGGCCTCAGCCTCAGCCTGCCTCAGCCTCAGCCTGCCTCAGCCTCAGCCTCAGCCTGCAGCCTCAGCCTCAGCCTGCCAGCCTCAGCCTCAGCCTCAGCCTCCTCAGCATCAGCCTGCCTCAGCCTCAGCCTCAGCCTGCTCAGCCTGCCTCATCTGATTTCAGCCTCAGGCCTCAGCGCACGGGCCTTCTCATCTCTGCCTGCATCACGCTTCACCTGCAGCCTGCCGCAGCCTCTCCGCCTGCTCAGCCTCAGCCTCAGCCTGCCTCAGCCTCAGCCTCAGCCTGCTTCAGCCTCAGCCTCAGTCTGCCTTCAGCCTCGGCCTCAGCCTCAGCCTGCCTCAGCCTCAGCCTGCATCAGCCTCAGCCTCAGCCTCAGCCTGCCTCAGCATCAGCCTGCCTCAGCCTCAGCCTCAGCCTGCCTCAGCCTCAGCCTCAGCCTGCTTCAGCCTCAGCCTCAGTCTGCCTTCAGCCTCGGCCTCACCTGCCTCAGCCTGCCTCAGCCTCAGCCTGCAGCCTCAGCCTCAGCCTCAGCCTCAGCTTCAGCCTGCCTCAGCCTGCAGCCTCAGCCTCAGCCTCAGCCTGCCTCAGCCTCGCCTCATCCTGCCTCAGCCTCAGCCTCAGCCTGCTTCAGCCTCAGCCTCAGTCTGCCTTCAGCCTCGGCCTCAGCCTCAGCCTGCCTCAGCCTCAGCCTGCCTCAGCCTCAGCATCAACCTGCCTCAGCATTCAAAATGTGGCACGGGAAGACAGCCCTGGGAACTCGAAAAACACGAAGTGGCCTACAGTTAGCTCCAGGCATTCAAAACCATGCCCAGGAATGGAGTTCTGGGAACTCGAAGACCACGAAGTGGCCTACAGTTAGCTCCAGGCATTCAAAACCATGCCCAAGAATGGAGTTCTGGGAACTCGAAGACCACGAAGTGGCCTACAGTTGGCTCTGGGCATTCAAAATCATGCCCATGAATGCAGTTCTGGAAACTCGAAGAACACGAAATGCCCTACAGTTGGCTCCGGGGCTTCAAAATCATGCCCATGAATGGAGTTCTGGTAACTCGAAAACCACGAAGTGCGTTACTGCTAGCTTTAAAAAAGTCCCCGGCACCCGTCCGCATCCCGCCCAGACCCCCCTGGGGAGTCATGATGCTCTCTTTTGAGCCCACGAGAAACCTATCAGTCTTCGCTGTTAGGTAACATGTTGTTATTTTGATTCACGTGGATCCCCACGGCCAAGCCAGACATACAATTATATATATATATATATATGTATATGTATTTGGTCGCATGTTTTCTTAATGTGTTTAATTGTAAACCGACGAATAACAACAACACAACAACAATATGTCATTGTTTTTTGTTGGGGGTCTAAACAACCACGCAAACCTAAAATAAATGATTTCGTTTAATTTTGGGCGCGCCCTGTCCCTCCCTGATCCCCCCGCCACCTCCCTCCCCTCTGCCCCCTTCCCTCCTCTTCTCATCCTCCCCTTCCCCTCCCGTCCCGCCCCCTCCCTCCCCCCCCCCTCCCCTTCCCTCCTCCCATCGCCTGGGCCCCCTCCCCCCCCCTTCCCCTGCCTCCCCCCCCCCCTCCCCCCCCCCCCCTCCTTCTCTCCCCCCCCCCCCCCCCCCCTTCCCCCTCCGACCTCCTCGCCCCTCCTCCTCCTTCCCGTCCTCGCTCAGGGGCCCCTCGGCTAAGGGGGGCCCCGTCGTCGCCCCCCCCGCTCCTCTCCGCGTGTTTCGCGACGGCCTCCGCGCCGCAGGCGCTCAGGCTCGAGTCCCGATTCGGCTCCGAACCTCAGAAGTCGCGGCGGCATGGTGGCATGATTGCATATCACATCGGCTCTTGTCGCGGGTTTCGCAG